TGTGTATCCTTGACTCTTGTCCTGTCTTGCATCCTTGGGAGAAGAAGGCGGATGGCCCTTTTCTCTAGATCCTTGGGCTTCAGATGATCCTATACAGCCCGTACTTTTCTTTATCCTTCCTAAAGCTCTAACCCTCAGGAGGCCTGCTGTCATCCCTGGTCCTCCTTGTCCTGTAGCACATTCTCTAGCTAGTTGCAAACGCTACAATTCAGCAGCATTTCAGAGGAAAGACCTGCCTTTCAGCCTTTCAGGGTCTTCTAGGGCCATCCTAGATGTTCCTTCATCAGAGCATGTGGGTGTTGGAGACTAGGGGGGTTGAAAGAAGAGGAATAAACTGATGGAAAATGGGATGGCAGAGATGGGAAATGCAGGAATGGGAGGGGGAATCAGGAGAAGCAGACTGGGAATATGGAGATGGTAGCCAAGGAGTGGGAGATGAATGGGAATTGGGCTTTTTCTTCATCTGACCATCTTTGTAATTTTCATCATGAACCTCCCCATGACTCCTAAACCTATTGCCCCCTTCTGGTCTGTAGGCTGTGTCCAGTTTCCAGCAGGTTGAAAGAATTGAGAGTGGCCGGGGTAAATGTCCTTTCGAGCCAGCTCAGCGGTCAGCAGCTGTAATGGCTGGTGAGTGGGAGAGACAAGAATCTGTGATTTCTTGCTATAATTGCTTCCTGTGTCCTTTCTTTCCTTTCCTAGGAATGTTTATTATTCCCATGTCTCTTTCTAGCCTTTCCTATTCCCAGAGTGCCTGTTTCCTTTTGCTTTTCTCCCGAGTATTATTTCCCTGGGTCGTCTCTACAGAATGTTTTTTCTGTACCTCTAGTGTGAGTGTTTCCTCTGTTGACCTCATTTTCTTTTCTTTTTTTTTCTGTTTATAAGAGGAATCTACTGCAATGCATATTGTAATAAATTTGGAAAAAGTATAAAGAACATATGAAATGTTCTAGAACAATGTCCAAAAGAACTTTGTTTCTGCGCTGTCCAACATGGTAGGCACTAGCTACTTGTGGCTCTTGAGCCCTTGAGATGTGACTAGTGCGAGTGAAGGAAAGAATTTTAAATTTTATTTAATTTTAATTTAAATGTAAATAGTCACTTCCCAGAAAACTACTGTTAACACTTTAGGATATTTCCTTCTAGCCTTTATAATGTGTTGTGTGTGTGTGTGTGTGTGTGTGTGTGTGTGTGTGTGTGAGACGCGTGCGCACATACATATACATTTGTGCACATGTTTTGCTGGCCATATTCTTCCTTGGCTCTCTGAGGTGGGACTCTAATGGTTGTGAGGTATCCAGGCAGAGAATGTTCATATAACATAACTGTCAGAATTGGTATCACTTGGACCCCTGTCCGCACTCTGGGAACATTAGCAACCAAGAGTGAAGCCAGGGGTCTTTGTTCTGCACTCCCATGACTTTCAGCTCTTTCTCTGAACCCTCCTATCCAGCAGGCTCATGAAATGAAGGACTGTCCTTTTGTCAAGGCTTGTTTGTAGGAGAATATAGGGCACAGAAAGGTTAGCTGTGTTAGCCCTTCAAGCCACATACTGAAACTTCCTGAATGCTCTCTTATGCCTTTACCTGCCAGTCTTATCCTGCTACCTGGCAACCACCGCCTACTTGAACAAGTTCTTGCCTTATCCTTAGTGCTGAACCTCTCCTGACCCAGACTGATGACTTTGAGTCTATGCATAACTATTATCTGAGAGCTTTGACTAGCTAGCTGCTCCAGACATAACAACTTGCTCAGAGGTGATTGCTCAGAGAAGTGATGGTTCTTATAAAAGGAAGTCCAAGCACTGGACCTACCTACCAGTTCCAACAATGCTGAGTGCTTCCCTTCAGTGATAGCTCTTCAGATACCGGAGGAAAATATTTTAATTTGTTTTGTTGAGGGAACTCCAGCAGTTGGGAGAGAAAAATGTTAGACTTACAATGAAAGAAGACTTCACATTCAACTGAGTATCTAATCTGTCCCAGGCTTGGGGCTAGGTACTTTACAGTCATGATTGAGTTTAATTCTCATCAACATATCATGATATTTAGGTATTATTTATTTCCATTTTACAGGCAATAAAACAAAAGTTCAGAAAAGTTAAGTACCATGTCCAACGTTATATAGCTAGTAGAGGCAGAACCAAAGTTCAAACCTAGGTTTGTCTGGCTCTGCTCTACTATCTGACCCTCGAGTCCAGCCTGTATCCCAGAAGACCCTACCTGGCTTCAATTTCTTGTGATGTTTGACCTGTTTCATGTAACAGGGACCGTCTTTTTTGTTGTTGTTCCCCTAACCTGGGAAAGGTCCTTGGCCAAGACTGAAAGACGGATTCCAACCCCACAGCTCAGTGACAGCCTTCCTACCTAGATCTGCTTTCAGCTTGAGGGACTTGCCTTCATTACAACTGATGTTGAGCACAACTAATGTGCTGATGACACAGACACAATGAAGTATCTATCTCAACATTCAGAGAGAGAAGGTAGTAGAGTGGTCTATTAAATGTCACTTGGACCATACAGTAATCATAACCTGTCTTGTTAATAGGAGGCTCACCTGCTCAAAGGCTGTAAAACTAAATAACATGATGATGCCATTTGGAGAAACTGGAAAAGGACTTGTTTTGATATGTTGAGTTTTAAGGGGCTGATAGGCTGTGAGGAAGTCCAGCAGTCAAGTGCAAACATGAGCTAGAGTTGGAAGACATCGGACTTGGAGAGTTTGGGCAATAATTTGCATTGAAGGTCTGGAAGAGTAAGAATGAATGAGATCTTTGAAGCATATGTGAAAAGGACTAAGGATAGATTTTAAGGATTCACAGGAGTGAGAAAGAAGAGAAACAATGAACAGAGATAGAGAAACAACAATTAGATGGGAGGAGGGACTCCAGTAGCGTGCAGTTTCAAGAGACTCAAGAAATACAAAGGAGGAGAGTGAGCCAAAAGTAGCAAAA